CTTAACAATCGCCGATCTAACAATGTGCAATCATCTACCAAATATCCATCAACAGAGGAAACTTCTTCCATCAACACTTCTTCCATTCTCGGTCAAGATTACCTGAACTGCAATCACCTACATTCGGTGGTAAAATTACAGAATGGCCGCATTTTTATGCTATGTTTAAGACGATTGTTGATAGCAGTGCAGATCTAAGTAATCTAGAGAAGCTTCCATCTTGTTTCGCAAAGGTTAGACCCAGCGTCACATGCGAAATGGGAAGAAAGTTTAGAATTTGATACAATACCGAAATGAAATTAAATGTCTGAATTTCTTGACAAGATATGCCAGGTTTTAGAACACGTTACGTACTCCACTAGAGCTGCTGCTAATAATAACAACAGGTGAGCCCAGCGTTTCCCAACTAATTGAAAGACTTTTGTCACCATAAAATCGCCAACATCTAGATGCACATTTTGCAGTGATGCTAATCATTTCATTTATGCAATAATCTCGTTCAGACCAATGTATCTTCGGCGCTTTCTACTATGTCTTCTGATTTGACTACGAAAAACAATACAACATCAACTGCTGAATCATATATAAAATCTTCATTGGTGTCAACGAACTCATCACAACAGCACCCAAACTGTCCCTCATTCGAATGTGTGCTCCTGGCTACTGCAGTTATTTTAGAAAAGAATCGTGAGGGCTCCTTCATACCATGCCGTGTCATTTTGGACTCTGCTTCTCAGTTACACTTTATTACAAAATCGTTTGCAAATCAACTGCAGGTGAAATCAACAAAATCCGTCACTGTGGTATCTGGAATTGGTGATGGGGATTTTGTCTCTAATAGTTCCAAGAACTAACTATACAGTCTTGTTTTGGCAAATACTCAACTAATATTACTGCAGTTATCACCACTAAAATCACTGATCAGCAACCCAGTAGTAACGTCAATACTAATGAAAAAAATCTACAGCTTGCAGATCCAACATTAAACAATTCTCAACTAATAGGTGCAGATCTTTTCTTCGAATTATTATGCGTTTGTCAAATTCGCTTGGATCCCCAATTACCAATACTACAAAAAACATTACTCGGTTAGATAGCTTCAGGTGGTAGTCAATATGCTACACCATCAGCCACATTAGCGGCTTTTAAAACGACATCATCTCAAATCGAACACGATCAACGTTTGGATCAATAAGTCAAAAGCTTTTGGGAAACGGAAAACTGTTTTGATTCCATTGTCAAAACAACGAAAAAACATTTATATTGTGAAACTCATTTTCAGATGCATTTTTCTTGCAATAAGTCAGGTGAATATTGTGTTCGTTTACCGCTAAGACTAGAAATAGATCTATTTGGAGACTCATATATTCAAGCTTTGCGAAGTTTTCATAGCTTAGAACGCAAACTACAGCTAAACCCCAATTGTAAGACGCAATACACTGGTTTCATGAAGGAATATTTGGATCTTAACCACATGTCTCCAGTTGCTGACACTGAAACACGCCTTCCGAAGTATTATTTATCACATCGTTGTGTTCTAAAGGCGTCTAGTTCTTCCACAAAACTTCGTGTTGTGTTCTTTACGGTTCTGCATCAACTTCTACAGGATATTCTCTGAATGATATGCTATCGTCAGGACCTACAATTCAGTCCAATTTGATTGTCATACTTCTTCGATTACGATCCTTTCTATTCTTTACAATGTATGCTATGGAGAAACGATCATCAGGAGCCGTTAAAAGTATATAAATTAGATACTGTTACTTATGGCACTAAGCCAACCGCGTTCTTAGCAGTTCGAGCTATGCAACAATTGACTTCTGATGAAGCAGAAAACTTTCGTGACTTCTACATTGATGATTTGATTACTGGAGGCAGCTCCGAACACGAAGTTCTTAACATTATGAGAAAACATCTTCATTGCTCAGCAAGGGCAACTTCTAATTAAGGAAATGAAGCTCGAGTCAGTCTTCTGTGTTGAAAAATATTTCTGAAGTTGACAGGGAACCAGTGGTGAAATTTGATGATGGCAGTGAATACACAAAGATCCTTGGTCTCTTGTGAAATCCGACTAATAATAACTCCTTCTTTTCTTTTACATCACAACAAAATATAAAAAATATAACAAAGCGATTCATTCTCTCGCTTATTGCTAGGTTTTATGATCCTCTTGGTCTGATTGGACCTGTAATATCGATGGCTAAAATATTTTTGCAGCAATTGTGGAAGCACAAGCTGGACTAGGATGAGAGCTTGCCAATCAAATTACACACTGCATGGAACTCACTCTATAATAATCTTTATTTAGTTCAAAAAGTAACGTTTCCACGTCTCGTTTCGTTACCTAATGCATTTCTTGAATTGCATGCCTTTTCTGATGCCAGTTTGGACGCCTACGAAGCTTGTGTTTATGTCGTCTCCAGGTTTGAAGATTCAGTCAGTGTCAATTTACTTTGTTCAAAATCTAGAGTATCACCTCTTAAAACGTTGACAGTTCCATCTATTGTATTGACATGGATTCAATCTGAAGCTTCTACATTTAACACATTCGTTTCAAATTGTATAAGCAGAAGTCAACATTTTACTGAAGGTATGACATAGCATCATTTTTTTTTTTTTTTTGAAATCCATTTATTTTATTACAATCTGTCAGGTATGAATGACAGTAAGTAATATATAATAAATATTACGATCTAAAAAAGAAACACACGTATGGACTATGCTCAGTGACATATCCATATATATTTAAAATAACAGTGTGTGATCTACATATACATATCTAAAATATCTCTCGATGTTTTCCTTCTCAGCCTTATAAAAGTGTTGGAAGGGGACGTCAGGTATGTAACCAGCGGGTTTGGGTGCATATATATGCGATGAGTGTAATTCATTAAAATACTGGCTATTTCTTCCTTGATTGTCCGAACATGTAATTTTTTAAGCAACTGTTCATTCGTTATATACCAAGGTGCATTTGTGATCATTCGCAATGTTTTAGATTGGAAACGCTAGATTTTTGCCAGGTTTAAACCTGCTGCAGTACCCCATAATTGGGCCCCATAATTCCATATAGGTTTTAGTACAGATTTGTATATAAGCAGCTTATTGTCGAGTGACAGTTTGGAGTTTCAACTTAGGAACCAAAATAAGTTTCGTAATTTAAGACCCAGGGCCTTACGCTTTTTGAATATGTGTGATTTCCAGGTTAGCTTACTATCCAGATGTATGCCCAAGTATTTTGTTTCTACAGCTTGTGGTAATTCAGTATTGTTTATTAAAACAGGCGGGCACGTAGAACGATTTGTAGTAAATGTTACCTGAACAAATTTTGATTCATTCGGTTTGATACGCCAGTTTTTCATCCAGAGAGCAACATTGTTAAGGCAGGTTTGAAGTTTGGTGGAAGCACGGATTGGGTCACTGTCAACTGATAAAAAAGCTGTGTCGTCTGCAAATGTACCGATAACACTCTCATCGGTAAGGGGAAGATCCACAGTATATAAAAGATAAAGCATTTTGAAGTACTGTAGTTTCGTTTCCATGCTTAATGAAAAAGTGCCTTGCCGAGAGGTATGATTTTATAAATATAAAAAAATTTAGGGGTAGATTCAGTTTTAGTTTGAATAGAAGGCCTTCATGCCATACTCGATCAAAAGCTTGTGAAATATCTATAAATGCCGCAGTGCAATATTTTTTACCATCTATCGCACTATGGATATGTCTGACAAGTCTATGAATTTGTTCTATATTGCTATGTTTTTGGCGAAAGCCGAATAGAGGGTCAGGGATGAGTCTGTTTTGTTGGATAATCGGTGTAAGGCGTTTTAGAAACAGGATTTTCAAAGCTTTTGACAGGATTGGAAGTAGACTTATTGGGCGATATGATTTGACGTCTTCTGGGCTTTTCCCTGGTGTCGGTATTATGGAGATCTTCCACTGTGGCGGAATAAATCCCCTTATTATCACAACGTTAAAAAGATGAGTCAGAAATACAAATACAGCGCATTTTTGGCTACGTGTATAAATTTGTCAAAGATCGGTTGGGTACTTTAACAGTTTATGACATAAACCTGGGAACCCTTATGCTAATTCGCTTAATACAAAGGGCAAATTTGTGGACAGAGCACCATGATCTGGAATGTAAAAGACTGATTAACAGTTCAAGCAAGTTATTCCCGCTGTCACCATTTTTGGATAATAATGGCTTAATTCGCTTTGGTGGTCGTCTTAAAAACTCCAATTTGGATTTTAATGTTCAACATCCAATCACTTTACTTACAAATCATCCACTTTCAGATGCGATCATAAATCATTATCTCCGTAAATGGTTGCATGGAGGCGCACAATCAGTTCTTGCTTCTATACGACTACAATATTGGCATATGGAAGGAAGAAAGCTTGTCTCAAAGGTCATTAATAAATGCATAACATGTTTTTGTGCTAAACCAACAGTTGCAAGGCATATTATGGGTCAGCTTCCACATGCACGAGTTCATCCTAATCGTGCCTTTGTGATTACTGGTGTGGATTATTGTGGACCTTTTTATTATATATCAGAATTTCGTAACAAGCATCCAATCAAGTGCTACATTTGTTTATTTTTCTGATTTACAACCAAAGCGGTGCACCTTGAAGTAGTTAAGGGTTTAACAACTCCAGCATTTCTTGCAGCATTGCAACGTTGTATTTCTACTCATGGCAGACCCAAAACTGTATGGTCAGACAATGCAACCAATTTGATTGATGGTGGTATACTTTTAATTTGTTTTATATAGTAAAATTTAAATTTTTTTTTAAATTTAGTTTTATTGTAAAATTTGTTTGAAACGAAGTAACCTAAGAAACAACTTTTTTTAACGAAATAAATAATATTCTACAAAGTAAAAAAAAAAAATTAAGAGTTATAAAAAGTTGAAATTACGCAGAGTGAAGTTAATTTTAAATTTGATTGGTGCGAAATAATTAAATTCTTTACGGATTGTAGTGTAAAAATTCCTTACAAAGAATTTTATAGTCGAAATAATAAACAAACATGATATATATAAATCCAAATTTTATAAAGAAAACCCAAAACAATCCTATTCTATCAGTGAAGACTACACATTTTAACCCGCTGTTTTTCTCGTCAAGACTGATACATATGAATCCACAATTTTTACTTAATCTCGCCGCAGAATATTGGTCAATTGTTGCTAAAGATAATACAACACCAACACATGAAACTAACATAAACCTCCACACTCCAGCCACAATAGACGAATCACCTAACACAACTCCACTTACACAAGACCAAGTAGAAACTCGTACACAAGCAGAGAACATTCACATAACAATCACACAACAATCACATTCAAATTTACCGCAGGAACGGATTGTTGAAGAAGCTTTATTGGCCAATGCGATTGAAGACTTATCACCATCGACTGGTCACAACAATCATACTCTAGTACGCCACACACAGCAACATCACAACACAACATTTTTCAAAACAAATACTACAAGTTCGAAAGTACTGTCACGTAGATTCAAGGTAGTTCATCACAAACGCCTTAATCGCAACCCATTCATTTCACCAAAGAGTTATAAATTAAATAATAAAATTGATAAGGCTTTTAACGCATGCACCACCTCTCCGTTACCAAAAACAAGAAATTTTAACTCTGGTGCCAACTGTGCTCCAAGATCATCAGTATCCAGGTAAGTGTGGCGTTGCTCATATAAACTACAGTAATACTTTAATTATTTAATTACTTTTAAAGCAGTGCATTCTTCGGTTGTCCCTACGGTCAAAATAAAAAATGTCAATTAAAAAACATTAATGGTGTGATGTATAAATTAACACGTAATTCATTACAACGCAAGGACCTCGTCCTCAATAACACAAAACCCAAGTCAGAGAGCACTCACTCAAATGTGAAAATCAATGCACAAGAACAGCAATCAAATCAGTTAGTGGATTTTAAGTCGAAGCTTCCACAAGGGAATGCTGATGGTCTGCTCCACAAATCTTCGCCAGGTAGTGATACTTCCACGTGGACTAAAAATAACACAACTACGGCACATGAAAATTGCGCCAAACAATATTCTGCAGAGCAATTGAGAAAACGATATTTCAAGAACAATGTACCATGTGTCATTTTCCAACGAACAGGAAAGTGTGCTGCTCAAGAACTCGGTCGATGCAATAAGAAGCACGATAAGCAGCAAGTTGTGATCTGTTCTAAGTACATACATAATATAAAAAGACTGGAACTGCAGTTTCCTAATAATTCCCTATATACCATAATTTTGTAGATTTCTTCGCGGTGAGTGTGAAAATAAAAACTGTCTCTTGTCGCATAATGCCTCTTACTCGAAAATGCCTGTTTGTAAGTTCTATCTGCGAGGAACGTGCGTCCGCGAGAAATGTCAATATCTGCACAAAAAGCTTAATTCCAAAACTGACGTTTGTGAAGATTTCCTACGCGGATTCTGTAAACTTGCAGAAGAGGTATTTCCATTGAAATAAATATAGAACACATTTAGATATATGTGTCTGCATATTTTTATTAATTGCAATTACGAATATTTTAGTGTGAAAAACGTCATGTATTTGTATGTCCGCAATATGAACGCAATGGAGAATGCAATACTAAGAATTGCATTTATTGTAAGTCAGGTCGAGATCGGCTTAAAAGAAAGAATGAAAAACCGAAATGTGTGAAATCTAAATCGAGCTCAGATGGATTTGTTAAAAATAATAAGAAGTCTGATCAAAAGGAATTACCAGTAAAAACTGGTATCCATTCTAAGTCTGAAGTAGTTAAAAATCGTTATTTCTTAGAACTTTCTAAAGCAAATGAAATAGATGTTGACACCAATAGTAAACAATTAGTAGATCCAGAATATGAAGTCGAACAGTTAAAAGGCATTGAAATGCCAAACTTTATACCGATTTAGAAAGATTTATGCAAGGTTCTATATAATAAATTATAGTTATATGTGATTTTTACTTTTTAGCAGCGTTAAGTATTAGTTATTCTGAAATTATTAGTTATTCTGAAGTTATAAAATTACAAAATACAACACAACTAAAAAATGTAAAACATGTTTATATAAATAAAAAGTATATTAATAAAGTACTTGTGTTCTTGAGGGCTTTATAATAATTTGTATTATTTCGCAACATATATTCATATCTTAAAACGGCACTATAACGATTTATTGAACGGCGTAAAGCGACCATGGCAAAATCGTTTATTCTAATTTACTTTTTTACTTATGTCAAATACTAATATTGTTCGATTTTGAATTTATCTAAGTTTAAACTTGTGCATTTTTCCATTGATTGTACAAACAAGACGTAACTAGGACGAAATGGCGTTTAAAGTTGTCGCTGTTGTTTTGCACCCAAAAAGTTATCTTAAAACCCAATGTCTCGAGAATCAAAATATATCGAATCTGATTAGAAATAGTTGATTGGAACAGCCTATTTAATCAAAAGGCATCAATGACTGATTAGCTTTTATCTTACCATCAAGATGAATGTGGTGTGCCTCCATGCTATGTAAAGTATCTGCGGTGGTTAACCAGACAAATTAAATTACTTTAAAAATACACTTGGATAATTATCTATGTTATCTTGATTCATAACAGAATCTACTGACATATATAATCACTTCCCAAGGTATTTAAGATTATATTACTATTATTATTATTATTATTATTATTATTATAAGGACATATTTGTATTGTAACAAAATTAAAAACTTAATCTATTTATATAGAATATTTTCTGTACATCGAATTGACGTTACAGAATTTGCAAATGCCTTCCAGTTATTGCGCTGTCGAGCCATTGCTCTGAGCTCGCTAAAGGATTTTCTCGTTTCGCCTGTAATAGTATTTTTCGACCTCCCTCTTCCTCACCGGCTCTGTGGGTTCCACTCTAATATTGCGTGGGGTGTTTTGTTTGTACTCTTCCTGAGCATATGGCCAATCCATCCATATTTGCGCTTGTTGATTTCCTTTATTGATACTTCACTGATGACAGATTCGCCACAGCGTTTCTTTACGAATAGTTCGCGGCCACCAGATTTTTAAAATGTTCCTTCAGTTTCTATTGATAAAGGATTGCAGCTTGTGTATGATAGTGCATGAAGTGAGCCAGGTGTCACAACCGTATAGCAAGGTTGATTTAATACACACATCAAATATTTTTAATTTTATTAGGCACGTAATGGTTGTAGGCTTCCAGATCGATTTGAGTCTGCCGAACGCGGAGCGTACTTGAGTATCCTACAATCGACGTCCGCCAATGTTTCGCCATCTCCAGAGATTTGGCTGTCGAGGTATTCAAACCTGGCTACATCCTCCTGGTAAGATCTTAAAAAATAAGTGGAACAACTACAAATAATTTAATAATTAAATATAATTACAAAAAGTACATTGTTCTGATAGAATAAATCTCAATTCAACTATTTTTAAAATTAGATAGGTGAAATTGTTTCCGATTATAATAAATGCAATCTTATAATTGACCCTCAGAATCCTGAATGTTTTTTAAAAAAGCTGAAGTTCCTAAAGTTTTTAAGTGTGTAAATATTGAAAAGGAAACCTAGAGCAATTGTTAGATTTGTCTATAGCCTGGATCTGAAATAATGTACGAGTATATTAAATGTGGATATATAATTTGTATATAAATGAAAAATAAAAAAAAAATTAAGATGTAAACTGGCGATAAACAAGGAGTAAAACATGTCATTGATTTTAGTTTTTAGTCCAAAATTAAAGAAAATAAGAATTCAGTAGATTCAAAGATTCAGATGTAATAGTATAGAAACAGAGTCATAATAAAATGACTCTGTGACATCACTTAACAATTTTGTATCTTTAGAATGCGCATCTGGATATTGCGAGTTAAAATATCTTAAAACGCCTACGCGCATTTATGTATATAATTACATTGAGGCTTAATGTTTATAGTTCTTTTGGCAAAAAAAAAATGCAAAATGTTTACTTTTGAAACTATATCAAAAGATACAAGTTTCAAATAAAATAGTTCATCAATAAGATATCCAAATATTATTGGATATTAATCTCGTCATCTGGATATTGACGCCAAATTTAGAAAATAGAAGCTCCAATCCTATAGGATGGAGATAAAAGAGCTTCTGGAAAATTCCTAAGAATCTTAGAAATAATTAATTCGATTGGTTAATCCAATTTTCAATCTTCCAAAAATGACTTTAGTCATTTTTCATAAAAATCCAAGGGGTCAGCCTAAAGGAAGGAATAAAAGAGTGCCGACTCAATCGGACAAAGTAATCGAAATAATATACATATCCTAAAATTTAAATAATATTAATATTTTTATATAATAATATAAAATTTAATTTGCACCTTTATTTCATTTGTTTTTTTTTGTATGTATTATTTAGTTTTGTTTATTTTCTCTATTGTTCTTTCTTTTCTTTTTTTCTAGCTCGGATTTAATTTATTTATAATAGACAAGTTCCCACCGCAGCTGTTCTGATGACGTCACCGCTTCGCTGCTATTCACATCTAAAAGTTGAAGTATATATTTATAAAATAGATAATGGGCGTGCATTTACAACTTACTTAATCTTACTTAATTTTTTTTAAATATATAAACAAAACTAACTTTTTTTTTTGAAATATAAATTAATTTGGCAGGGCACGAATTCGAGTCCTGGTACTTACAATCTCAAAAAAGAAAATTTTAGAATAATTAAATATAAGAAATAATTCTGAAACGCCAATGATGATGGCTATTTGGCAACACTCGAAACAGCTGTATGGTCAGCAAAAAATTCAATTAATTAAAATAATAAAAAAAAAAATTTCTGTTGTTGTAGTTCACTACTTTTCAAATACTTCTTTTAAAAAAAATTATTTAAAAAAAATAAAACAAAGAAGTGAAAAAAGTTATTATCCTTATTTCTTTCATAAAATAGATCAAAAAAGAAGAAAAAAAATTATAAATGAAATAATCCTAATTTATGATTCATATATCCATCTGTCAAAACTCGGAGGATACTCTTTTATCCACAAAAAAAAACCATCAATTCAATCATTAAAATCTATCTTATATTCATTATTTTCCTTATGAATTTTAATGTCTATTTAAAAAATGTGTAGAATGAAGCAAGTATAAAAAATATAAGAATAAGAATAATATATATGGTATATATATTTTTTAATTCAAAAACTAAAAAGAAAAAGAAATGTTATATAGGTATATACAAATTTATCTAAAGGGCTTTTACTCAAAAGTGTCTTGTTCACTTGTGGCCACTACAACTAGTGTTCCATTGGAGTGTTTATAGTATTAAGTCCAGCATATTTTTCTAACCAATTATAAATTGTATTTGTTTTGAGAGAGTGCAGTTCTAAATTAGTATGCGCATTTATAGAATCGAACAATTTTTGAGTGGTCTGTCTGTAATGTAATTCTGCATGGTCTCGATTCTCAAAGTCTTGTGTACAAGTCTTGTGCTTTATTCCTTATATACCACGGAGCTGTTAGCATGCGTCTCAATACAATAACATATGCTAATAAGTTTGTATTAAGAAACACAATCATAAAGCAATTTAGGTCTAATAACTTGCTTAAAGCAAACATTTTTTCACATTTCAAAGCATTCAGAGTTAAATTACAGGACAGTCTTTTGTCCCTTATATGTTCTACTAAAAGTTGGACCTGAGTATTTTACGTTATATTCCTATTTTATTTTTACATTAATGACTTTTAATATTCATGTATTTTAATTTCAACATCTTATAGTAAAAATAGCTGTCGTTTCTCAGCATTTAATATAGTTTTTTATTTCATTAGTAACCGCCACCGTAAGTAGCAATCTAATAATTTCATTTCCTATCTACCGATAGGCTCCATTAATTTTTCGCCATTTTGTTTTCTCCTCCATATTAAATTCAAAACCATTTAATTGTTGACCAAAACTGTGACACAGTCTTACTGAAATAATGTAATACAATTCTGGAATGTTTTGTATTCGAAGCAAGGAAGTCAACTAGCAGTTGCCCACCCAAAAGATTGCACAGTATGAGTATTTATATTGACTTTGCTGATGATATCATCAATATGTCTGAATCATCTAATGAACATCGAAATTATTTAAAAATTGCCTTACAAAGATGAAAACAGCACCAGCTCAGGTTGAATGCACCTAACTGCAAACTATGCGAAAGTCTGTTGGAATTTTTAGGCTATAACATTAAGAAAGATGAAACCTCCATAGGAGAGAATAAATGCTCCCCAAGATGCTTCATTATCATTAACAACAGACGCCCCAAATATTACTATTGGTACATCTTTACAATAGACGGAAAATAACAAATGGAAGCTAATAGGTTTTTTCTCGAGAAGAATGTCAACAGCTGAACAAAATTATACCATATGTTGTATTTATTAGGGAAAACTGTTAGCGATTTATATTCTGTAATCAAAAATTTTCAGTATATTCTGGAAGATCGAGTGTTTGTCTTCAAATCATATCAGAAATCATTCACTTTTACCTTCAAACAAAAATCTGACAACTTCGTCAAAATATCGACACTGCAAAGCACAACAAGAGAATAAACCAAGAACAAGAGATTGATGAAGACCTATCAAAAATTTTGGAATTCTGAATTTTACTGAAACTACAAAAAGTATTCAAAGAAAAGAATATTGATGTTTATTGTGACACATTTACTAGTTTAGTGTGATCGTATATACCGATGTCTCCTCGACGCAAAACATTTGTTATATATAGTCTTGCTCATCCCAGCGATAGAACAAATAGTAAATTATTAAAAAAAAATTTACATGGCTGGATATTCGCTTTGATGTACTTCGCTGGTGCAGAGTGTATTTCACGTCAGCGTATTAAAATTCATAGGCATAAAAATTAATTACAAGAAAAATATATAAACCAGATAATAGATTTAAACATGTACAATCACAACTATTACCATAGATCAAGATTCTCAATTTGAAAGTGCTTTATTCACATCGGTCAGAATTTGATGTGATTTTTTATTAATCAAGATCTAAGTGGAGA